GTTTTCGCAAACGAAGAAAACAGAACAGCGAAACGTGACCGAGTCGGATTGCAAACTATTAATTCAGTCGATGCGGCTTGTTCGCATTTGCGATAAGAAGCAACGTCGTATATATTCCGAAGAAGAAAAAATAAGGAAAATTTTATCTATGTAAATGTAATTCATTCTTATATCTCAAAACAATACGGTCACTGAGCTTTGGCAATCGCGTAAATGTAATATTTTTAAATTTTAAGTATTCTAAGTGATAACGTTTTACTGTTCTCTCTACAGTATTACTTCCCTATAAGCGCAAAATATTCCTAGAATGTTATATGGATATTATTAAAAAAAAATTAAAATAATGATATTATAATATTTCGAGAATATTATTTAATATTATATAATTTTAATAAAATATTTTTTTTCTTAAAATGTTATATTTAATTTAATTTAATTATTCTAAGAATATGCCTAAAATATTACTTAATATTATGCGCTTATAGGGTTTATACTTGCACACAGACGCCTGTTTAATGTAAAAAAAGTATGACACTATATTCAAAAACAATATGTTCTACAAGAAAAATTCTATCCTATAACATAAATCGCCGCTTAAGAACGAATAGTATAGCTTTGAGGAAGATAATCTTCACAACATTTCGAAAGCTTTTCTGAGAATTTTTCAGGAATAGACTGCATCAATTTTACGCGTTTAAATTGTTAGAGGTACTCCTTTCAACATCGTCAAAAAGATTAATAATGCTGCCACGTAAAACGTCGGACTCATTCGTTTACTTTTCTTTTCAAATCTTGAGTCGATGATTACATCCACGATGATTATGCTGACATAAAATATAATACAACAGAATTTCTTGTAGCAAAAAAAAAACATATACGGAACGTAAACGTATAATGTGAACCATATACTTTTCTATCGTCATCCCGCGAGTAATATGACCAGCGAATGTATATATGATCTTTCGTAACTATTAAGACTTGAACGAGAATAGTTGAGTCAGTATCAGTATGTAATACGTCGAGATTGATTAGCTAGAGCGATTATTCTAATCGAAGCAAGACGCTGACTCATTTTTTTGTGATAATATTAGGGCACAAAGTAATTAATATTCCTGTAATCGTGCTTCGTCCGTTATAAAAGACATCCTTGAAATCGATGTTAAATGATTTCTCGCATACATTATAAATGTATGATCCTCGTCGAGGATGTTAATTAACTTTTCCAGGGAATATTAATCACGGTATAATTTATACGTATGAAAATATTAATCAAATTTATATGTAAATCAAATTACTTGAAAAACATGTATATAATATCCTTTTGTTTATATCACTTTTATTTAAAGCCAGAGGCTATATCGAAGAGTTAATTAATATTCTCAGGAAATTAATATATACATGAATACAATGTGTATATATATATATACTATGTAAATGTAACGCGTTCAGTTTATATGTCGCCGATAATGTTTTCTGTAAAGTATGGAGCTCGACTTACACCGTATAAGTTCCTTTTATCTCCTCGCCTTCTTTCTTAATTTATCGGGGCTGTGCAACCGCGCGTATGTATATATTCATCGCTCGTATATGTATGTATGTATATATATTTATTACAATTATATGATCTCATTTCGAATTGCACTAAAATATTCATGTTTATTCACACACTCACATACACATACAACACACATAAAATTCAATTTCTTGTCTCCAATTGTCTTAGAAAAAAAGGGAAATTCACGTAAATATTTCAAAGCAGTTTTCCACATTTCGAAATAATATAATTGTAATATGTATATCTAATATAATAATGTGTATTCTGTGCCTTATATATATATATATATATATATATATATTATATATATTGTTTCTTTCTGTCTCCTCGTGTGCGCGTGTATATGCGTAAAAAATGTGTACATTATACATTTATAAGAAGTGTGAATGGCTACGGAGACAAGCTAAAAAGAAGCTAACTCAATTATACAATTGATACGCAAGCCGTAGTGATCGATTTATACATAATTGTAGTGAGAGACTTTTTATATCTATTCCCCTAACAGAAAGTGTTGCGACGAGAGAGAGGACGGATCTCGCGTGCGGAGTAAGAAACGCTGTCCGTTTTTCTCCTCTTTCTCTCTCTTTCTTTCCACCGTCTCCTCTAAAATCCAATTTGACGAAATGTCACGCCGCGCCAAAAGTAACGCAACACCGACGTTACGATCGCTGAGCTTGTTCTTCTTGACTGAGCGTCTTCATGCAACAAGTACGAGACTGCAAATCGAGCTCTATCGGAAGTCGTCACGCAGATATCGTTTTTCTTTTTTTTTCCCCGAAGCGAATCACTATATGCGTTACGATGCTTGTAATTAGTGTAAATACACATGATTGTAAATAAGTGCTATTTCGTCAGCCGTTTTATTCAAGAAAAAATACATTCCGTGGACTACTCTAAGCGAATCTGAATTTATCCATTGGAGTGAAAAAAAAAAGAATTGCATTATATCCTCGTGAAATGCCTGTATCAGACTAGAAATTGTGATTGAATTTAATCAATCAGAAGAAATAAAACCAATATCAAGTTTAGTGAACTTTGCTTTCATTGATCATATTCAATCTCGATTTCAATTTCAATCTCTAGTCTGATACAGGCAGAGGATTCGGATTTAATTATTTGAAGATTACGTTTAATTATATTTGAAGATGATATTCAAAACAAAAAAAATATGATATTTTGTAGAGATAAAGGGAGCGATATTTTATTGCTGGAATCGTCGCGCAATTTTATGGAAGAAACATTTCGTCGTTCCGTACCTATGTTCTATTAATTTAGGAATTATATTTCACCTAGAAATACAATAACCGAAATTATTGTATATCGTAGATACACACATGGACTTTTTGATTTTTTCTCCACTTTATCGGTCTCCGCTGCGAGTGCCGAAGAAATCGCAGCTTTGCGCGAATGCATGAGTGCGCAATAAAATGTACATACTTGTAAGAAAAAAAACGAGAACATACAATCATAATAAATCCGATATATGTATATAGGCGAAATTGTATTTTTCCAAGCGAAAGGAACGTTCGATCGGAGGATTTATTTAGCATTTCCGAAGGGGACATCGAGAGCCTGTCCCCCGCATTTGTTTTCTGATCTTACTTGGAGATACTTTCCCGAAAATAAAGGGTTTGCGTGAAATCATCTCTTCGTTTACTATTTGAATCGTCGACATAAAAAATAATTGTTTTATAAATTATGTATATTTAATTCATGCAAAATCTGGAATATAATAATAATAATATATATCTACATACACACGTTGTATTACTTTAAAGAGGCAGAGAAGAGCAAGAGGCTATGTTTATTTTAGTGAAATTGTCTCTCGGTTCGTACAACTTCGAGCGTCGACGTAAAGTCGTTGTTTTATAATTGTATTTAATTCATGCAAAACCTAAACCATAATATATCTGCATACACACACTTTTTGTTATTTTAAAGAGATAGTCAAGATCAAGAGGCTATATTTATCTTAGCAAAATCATCTTTTAATTCAAACGTAAAATGAAGAAGGTACCCATTTGGTCGGTATTTATCCGGTAAAAAATTTTTTATACAGCAATGTATAAATATGCGTAAACATACCTAAACACGCATAAGTATTCATAATCATATATAATTATACATGAAATATGTCCATACATCTTTCTTTCTTTTGTAAAATTACTTTTTAGTGTTTAATTAAAAATAATAATAATAATATTGAGAAAACATCAAAAATAATTAATGGGACAATTTTTGCATTGTTTGTTTTAGAAAAAATAAAGGTTTGGAAAAATGCAAACAAATTTGCTCATATACATGTATAACTATGTATAATTTTACAAGCAATTATATATGAGTAATTCTTTTACATTTTTCCAAACTTGATTTTTTCTAAAACAAACGATGCGAAAATTTTTCTTTTAATTATTTTTGATGTTTTTTTTATTATTATTAGTATTTTTAGTAATTTTCTAAAAAGTAATTTTACAAATGAAAGAAGGATGTATGAACACGTATAGACATCTCATACATAATTACATATGTTTGTGAATATTTATGTATGTTACGTATGTTTATACATATTTATATATATTCATGCATGACAAATTTTTTACCGGACATAGTCCGTTCTTATTTCAAGATCGTCTTAAGTAATGTCTTAAGATACTAATACGGTCTTCTGATTGGTTCGTGACATCTTAAGACTGTACTTAAAACGGCTTGAATATAAGAATCGATTATAAATGCCGCCCAATATGATTATTGCTGTAACTGTTGATTTGTGTTTAACGGATAATGCGACGGGCCAAAAACACAGCAGCATACAGCTATAATCATATCAGCTTAAATTTGGTTCTAATTAATCCGCTTTCCGAAATTCTGAATGATTAGCATATCTGACGCATATGACTGCGATAATAATCAGCGCGTGTCATATTTTCTGTTCCTATATTATTATAGGAACTGATTCCTGTATTATAGGAAAACTGCGAGGAACACTGTTATTTTTTCCAGCGCATCATGCCTAGATAAATAAAGTTATGAGCTAAATCAATGAAGTTAATTTCTCCCTACGCCCAAACCAAAAATATATAAAGATAAATACAGAAAATGAAAAGAAATTAATACATTTAATTTATTTGTAAGAATTCCTGAGAACAATTCATGCAAACATCAAGAATGTTCCATCCAAGGATATTCCTCGAGCTCTAGAGTCGGTATTCATAGTTGGTTCTTATTTCAAGACCGTCTTAAGTAATGTCTTAAGATGCCAATGCGGCCCTCTGATTGGTTCATGACACCTCAAGGCAGAACTTAAGACGGTCTTAAATATAAGATCTGACTATGAATACCGGCCTAGGATTCTCAATAATCGTCGGTAATACTTTTTCTACGGATGGTAAATGCGGTCGTTTCGTGATGCTAAAAGCGACGATCAATCAGATGATCTCAAAGTCGTGAGAATGTGTCGCGTTTGGTCACGTTTGGTGAGTCGGTTCAGATAATTATGAAATGACACACGATGACAATATTTACAAATTGTCACGTCGCAGAAATGTCGCAATAATGTTTCTTGCGAACTGCGATTATTGAGTTTCAATTTACAGGTTCTCTTCTGTTGCAATATATGATTATAAACTGTTGATAATAACAACAAGAGGTTATAACAACCTGAGAGATGGCTGATGAAGTTGTGTGGAAGAGGCCTAGAGCGAATGACGATGAAGAGGAGCTTCTGCGCCAGCAGGAAGAGTTCTTGAAGGTAAAGCAACCACCGTCCATGAAGATAACGAATCTAAGAGATTCCACCAGCGCTTCAGGTGCTTCGATTGTAAGATCGCGATTCTCAAATCTGAGGCTATCTGAGGTGAAGCAAGATGTGTCCACTTCACAAAGCAGTGGAGATATGATAAATCCGGTCATGAAGGATAAGATTCAAGAAACAAAAGGGAAACTGCAGGACATGGTGCAGAATATACCTGCGGTATCGTCAAATATAATACTTGGCAATATCATGGAGAGGAAATTCAATATCGAGAAGTATGAGTTTAACGACAACCGCGTTCCTGCAGCAGTCGAGCTCCCTGAGGTTTATGGATCTGATGATACATCACTTATGAACAAGGTATGTCTGATCAAAACACATCTCTGATATTTTTTTAAGTCAACTCGTTTTGTTACAATTTTGTAGAGCAATAGTAAGCAGAGCTTATTCTCACAGAAAGTTCTCGCAGAAAAATTAAAATCTGTGAGAGATAATTGCCTGAAGATTCATACGGACGAATCTTCCCACTGCGATAAGGAAGAAAACATTGTGACAAAGTATAATTTGCTTCAAATTTACAAAGAAAATTCGCTAAAGCTGGCACAAATGAGTAAAGCAGAAATATTAAAGGAAAAAAGAAAGCTTGAGGAGACTCTTGATCCTAAGATAATACAGTTTTTAAGAAACAAGAAAAATAAATCCACGGAAAATTCAGTCGTACTGAATAGTAGGCTACTTAGCGGTTTAGTTACGAACAAAACTGGAATGCTTACAGAAATGTCCATTGATAAAAAGACAAAGCTTTCGTCAAATGATAATGAAGAAATGGACTGTGAGAATGATATAACAAGTACTTCAAGCACAAAAGAGGATACAGAAATATCTAGTAACAAAAAGATAAAGTTGTCTTCGGATAATGTAGATACAAAAATGGATTACAAGGCTGGCACTTTGAGCATACCAGAGTCGTCCAAAGAAATATTTGAAGAAAGTAAACAGAAAGGATGGCTCCATATGAACACTCCTGAACCAGAAAAGTTGAAGTGGATGGAAGACTTGCCGGAAAAGGAGAAAGACGAGGCCTTGCCGAATAAAGAGTACAATGCGAGATTTGATTTTAATGGTAAATAATATATCAACTCATTCTGCTATCGATATTGATTATCTTTATCTTTTATTTCTATCATTCATTTTTTTATATTTTTAGGCCTTTTATTGCCATACAAGAATGAGAGCTTAACCGTAGACAAAGGTCTCCATCATCACGGAGAGGAACCCGAACGTCCTGGATACTCCCTTCAAGAATTGCTGCAATTGAGCAGGTCTTCCAGTCAACAGCAACGGTGTACAGCTCTTACCACTCTGGCTAATATCATGGAGAAAACGCGCAAGGGTTGGTATGACAAAGCCTTGCATCCAGCACCACTGATCGCACTCAGTCAAAAAAATATCCTGCTGCTGCTGAGGTTCTCGCTGGACGACTCGTCGGTAGCCGTCGTCACGGCGGCTCTCCAAGCTCTCAGAGCTTTTCTGGTCAGCGAGGCAGACGAGGTATGCTTGGACAGACTGCACGGATTCGAAGGATATATAGAACCCACCTTGACACCTCAACTTGAAGACAAGGATACTAGTAGTCTGAAGGATCACGAATTGGCGCAATTGGATGCCGTGGCTGCATTACTGAGATCGGATTTCTTATTGAGAATTAGGTATACCTATATAACTTTGTTATTATATTTTTTTATTAAATATTTTTGTTAAATTTTTTTGTATAATACTTTAATTTAAATATTGATAATCTTGTGATTTTTGTAGTTATGTTTTTATTTAATTCTTTTTCAAATACCTATATAAAATAACGGAACTAATTTAGATGTAATCGCTTGTAGATACATTTTAAGTGCGATGCATCCACCACCTGTTGGAGTAAAGTGTGCTTTAGAGATACTTATCCGTCTCGCGAGACATTCACACATAACGGCATTGAATATCTCGTCCACGCCATATTTGTTAGACACCATCATCCAAAATTTTATACCGTTGTCTACAGACCGACTAGGTAAATTAAGCTTAAAATAATACATAAATGATACATAAAAAAATTATCTTTAAAGGTTTAAATAAATTTAAAATTTATTTGATGGATAAATAATTATTGGATTATTTAAAGAGCCTGGAACTTTTTTTACAGCGATGCAGAATGAGATAAGTAATGTTTACGGAATTCCTGTAGTTACAGCGATTAAATTATGTCGCATTCTCGTCACATACGGCAAGAGGCCCACCGCACAGAAATTAGATAACTTTAAAATTATTCAAGCTATACTAACGTACATTAGCAGCGAGGCAGGGTAAGCTTTTCTATGCATCTGTATATAATTTTCATATATTTATTTTATTAAATACATAATATTTCGGCAGGAAAGATCACATAAATCTCAGCATTGAGAGCCTGCGACTCTGGCGAATGTTACTGCATTACGAAGTAGGTCTGGATAGTGTCATGGGTGCCCAGTTAACTCTTGTATCACAATTACAGCTGTTATTAAGTAATCATGATATTCAAAACACGTCCGAGTTGGCGTGCGAGCACGCCGCGGCGTTGATTGCTGTAGCAAGTCACGAAAAAACGTTAAAACCAAACATCTCTACATTGCTAATGAAGTGGAGTACGCAGTTTTCGTCGGTGTCTAATCCAACGGTGAGAGCAATTATTATTGATCTATTTATAATTACTTTATCAAGTATCATTAAGAAATAATTACTTAATAAATATTTAAAAAATATTAAGACTTTATATCTTGCGATATGTGTTTTTTTATTATTTTGACTTTATTATCTTAACATTTATCAATATTCGAGAAGGTATATAAAATATTATAAATTTCAGTGGGGTGTTATGAAATTAATTGCGGAGAGTTTATCCGCCATTGACGAGATATCCGCATTTAAAACAACGTGGCTATCCAATCAGCACGTTTTCTTAACTCTTCGGTAAGCGTACTCTTTTTTTTTATATTTGGAAAATATATATAAAAATAACTTACAATATTTATATTTGTTTTCTTGCAGTTCCAATTCAAACTTATTGAGCAACTATAATGCGGCTACGGATCGGGAACCGTCCTGTCTTTCAAACTTGGATGTTCTCACAGAGAACGGAGAGTTACAACCGATTGTGTCAGTGAATTCGTATATACCGTTCTTAGCGACGATATTCAATACACTTTACAATAATTCTCGCGTAACAGAAATTCGTTTGATACTTGAACACTCATCCTTCCGCAAATATATAGAAGATTTGGAAAAGACCGAGTGGAGTTTAGAAAGATCGTGGTTTAGCAGAATGGAGTTGTATCTTTTGACAACGGTAGTACGAGCAGTATCTCTCCTTGGAGACACAATCAACAATCAGACAGCTCAAATTGTGTGGAAGATCACCATCAAACTCATCTCGACATTACCTGCAGACGTCACGGATCACGTGAGAAAGCTCCTTCAAATCGCGTTGTCGAACGAAAAGGTAAATTTGGAGGTAATCACCAACGAATTAGCCAAATTAGACCTGACGTCTACGGTAGATCAGGTCAAGACAGGCTTGCGTTCCGACGCGACGTCGTTGTACGAGAGATACATCACGCCGAACGGTGATTGGAACCAAGCGGCGATGCCGAGAGACTGGCTCTTCTTACCGCTAGTTCACATATATACAAAGTCCAAAAACGATATCAGGTTGCAATCGGAGGATAAGGATAACGTCTTGACAGTGCTAAGTCTAGCATTAGTCTTGCCCGATCTCATGGAGAAACTATCGCCTACTTTGAGATTTAGCAGACTGATATTGGTGTATCTTTGTGACACCATCTACCTGAACAGCGATGTGGCTATACTGCTGCTGAATGTCCTGTCGAATTTGCTGAGAAGATATTACGCGCGGTTGAACTTCCGAACGGAGCTGCCAGGGTTGAGTTCCTTTACTGATCTGTTCACGGCATTGTGCGAGCATTTCTATTCGAGCTCGTACGGCGACGACGGTTTCGCCATGATATTGCTGGTGCCAGTGGCGCAACGACACGATCCACACTACCGGAAACTACTGTGGTCGGAACACGCGGCTGCGTTGCGATACCTAAAACTGTCGCCGGAGAAGCTGGTGTTGCCGTTGAAGGAATATCTCTATCCGGAGGAGGAAGATACGTCGCTTATAGAGAGCTACATCACGACGCTAGTTCGCGGTGTGGTCAAAGAGACCTGGTGTCCAATCCCTTTCACGATCGCGGTACATCACTCTGCGATGTATCTGAAGCGCACGAACAGGCTGGCGGTGCAAATGCGGACACAAGTGGAGAAGTTGCGAAACAGAAATATCGCGGACGCATTGCTGCACTACGTGCCACCGCGATTATGAATGTAAAATAACAAAACGGATGCGACATATAATTTTGTTGTATTTATTGTATGTAAATAATGTATATATATTTCTCTTTTAGATTTCATACCAGAGTGATCTTTAATTATACAAATGGATTTTAGACTAACAAGAAAAGGCACGGAAGTGTTGTCCTCTGATTTTGAGCTTGCAATATGTTATTCTTTAGACAAAAATAAGCAACACGTATTTTTTTATACGTGTCCGTACGCACTTTTAGGGGGTGAAACACCCTTTAGAAAAAAATCAGTTTTTCTCTTTCGAAGCGAATATTGCCGGTACTATAAGAGATAGGAAAAAATTTTCAGAATGAAAATTGAATGGCATTAAGAGTACTTTAGAAATACAATAAAAAAATTTTTTTCTTTATAAATAAACAATTTTTATTATAAATAAAAAAAATTTTTTTTTGTTATAGTTCTAAAGTACTCTTGAAGCCACTCAATTTTCACACACACATTCTGAAAATTTTTTTTCTATCTTACAGTTCCGACGATATTCGCTTCGAAAGAGAAAACGATTTTTTTCTAAAGCGTGTTTCACCTTCTAAAATTGCGTATGGCCACGTATAAAAAAATATGTGTCGCTTATTTTTGTCTGGAGAATAACATATTACAAGCTCGTCAAAATCGGAGGACGACACTTCCGTGCCTTTCCTTGTAAAAGTGCCGTTGCATGGCATCAATTTTTCGCGTAATTAATCAGAGGCGTTATGTAAAAAGACGTAACTAAAACCGCGGAAAGCTTCTGATCAATCGATACGCATTATGCGAAAAATTTATTTTAAGCGCCATAGGACAGTACCCTAAAAAATCGCAGAAAATTCCGAGCATTGCATCTCGGAAACTTGATTTATTATTAATTCCTTTTCGCCGCCTACATTAGGATGAGCAAGACTGTCATCGCAGTACCAGTATGACAAAAACACACGCGTGTGTATGAATACATACATGTATGCATCTCGAACCAATACAAACTTTGAAAATAGCATTTAATCCGTGTTCGCATACATGACATTTTTTTCCTGTTCTAAATACCCTCTGAAGTTTTAATATATAATCGAGAATCACCCTGTACATGTAATACACTTATACAATTTGTAAGGATAACTTTGTTAATCCATTAAACGAGTAGAGAAAGTAGAAACAACCTGCATAATTACAGTAAGCGTAAAGGCATTAATTGGTCACTTCGCTGATTGCCAAAATTTTCGAGTATTAAGATACTTCAAACTCCTATCGTAGCGCTCTGAGGACGCTTTTAAAATTAATGTACACAATAACGCATATATCATATCAAGACAGAGACGAGAATTTTACAAAAATCCTTTATCTTTCGAGGAGTGCAAAGATAAAAAACTAAAATAAGCAAGAATTATCGTAAATAAAAAATAACATCGAAGCGAACAATACGCGTAAAAGTGCATCGTACACTTCGATCGCGAAGTTTCACGAAAGCTGACGTCGCACCGCTGATACGAGTAGGACTTCTGTCGATGCTTTCAATTATAAAAAATCGCTGTTCTCTTCCTCACCGCGGCATATTGCCTCGCGATTGATTCGTATTCACAATTAAGTATTAATCAGAAATCAATGACGCGTGTATGTTCGACAGGGTGTTTCCAAATTAAATGGCAAAACTTCGGGAGCGTGTAGAGGAGTAAAAAACTAAGAAAAAAAGTCCTATAGACATATGCTCGTTTTTGCTCCGTTTCAGAGAAATCGAAA